CCTTACAAAATTTAAAAAAAATTTTTGTGTAACATTATCTTCAAATTTGTTGAGTCTTGAAAACAAGTGCCTGTGTCTACTTTGTCTAATGCATGGAATGTGTTATTAGAGGCACTGATATTGAGGTTTACTTCCCTGGTTTTGGAGTGGATGATTTTATTAACCTTCTTGCATAGAGGTGGTGAGAGGGATATAGCCAGGATGAAATTGCTGAGTGGTTGCAAATGGATGTTGATGACACAGGCTACCATCATGCAACAGAAGAAGACATTGCAACTAGTGTTACAAACACCAGAAACAGATGAAGACGAGAGTGAGGATGAGTGTGAAGATTCCAAGGTCAAGTTATCGGAGGTGCAAAATTGTTACGGATGAAATTTCAAAGTGGTGTAGAATTGTAAAAGTACTACCCAGTGACGAGAGACTTACGTTGCCATTGTGATCAACCACTAACATGCACAGCTTAAACAAGTTAAAACTCAAATTTTTTCAAGCCAATGTCAGTATACCAAGAAAAAAGTACCCTTCTAGCAGCAGTGATTTATTCGCCCTCATTGTTGAAATATTCTCTGTCCTCAGTCAGAATTAATAGTAACCCCCGATCTGCCACCATAACCTCGATTCCGACAGTGAATAAACCAAAAAACAAATGCCAGTTTTAAGTGTAACTGTGCACATAAATACCCTGTATAAGTGAAACAAATTGCATAAGTGAAACTACAGTAAAGTAACTTTAAGCAGCTGGTTCCACAACAGTGTACAGTACCTGAAAAAATTACAGGCTGAAGGGTTTTCGGGTTTGAGAAAGTCGTTGCCAAATCTCTCATCCCAGGAAGTGCTCTGTACCAATTGTTCCGGCAAATGGGGATATCACTACATAAATTTTACAGTACATCTCCATGGACAGAAGATGGCATGTTGCTATAAAAAAAAATGAAGAGCATGGGTGTGAAGTGAACATATGTGTGGACTTGGCATGTTGGCAAGTTAGACTGCACCTATGCTCTCCACACCAGGCCAAGCTGTGTTATTGTTATTTTTCAACCCATAGTTTTAGGTAGATACACAGTACTCAACTTTCTTCCAAAAAATTCCCAATTAAATGCACACAATCATTCATTCAGAATGTGAAAAAATAACAATAAATAAATAAATAAAAAAAATTATTATCATAAGGTCAAAATCATAAAGGAGAGTAAACATTTCTTACATCTGCGTGAGTTGGCCCATGATTGTGGGAGGGTAAGGAGAACACACTCCTGTCTCCCGTGTCCCTAGTAAAACGATTGCCAAATGACAATGCAGTATTTTTTCTTTTCTTTTATTTATTCCTCACATTTATGGAAACAATACATTCGACCGCAGAGGGATAAAGACGCCATGCTATTCCGGGGATACATAAAACTAAATACTGTGATTGGTGAAATGGTATACTGTAGTACAGTGAAAACCGTGGATACATGGAATCCACGGAGGGGAATAAGCGGTTGGTGAGGGTCTATTGTACTGTCTGTAGTACCCAGCCTTGTACTATAAGTGATATACTGATGATTAAAATACCGTATATCATCCTCAAAAGAAAAATTGTAAGCTATGATAGTTAATACAATATTTTCATGCTTTATGATAACAGTTTTGCCACAAAGATATACTGTACGGACTTCAATCTCTTGAAAGTATCACTCATATCTAAGTTGGTGCCCTTCTTTTTCCCTAAAAACTTTAATTAACAGAGTTACACTATCAGTATTTAAAAAAAAAAAAAAAAAACATTGGCATTATGTATGCCTAATTTCAACTTAGTCCAAGAGCTTCATGAAATTTTTGCTGTGGTGTCTCTGATATATTAATGAGCTTTGATACTTTGCACACTGTAACGAGATGTGAAATTCATATGAGTAACAATGCAAAATCAACAGTATGATTTATTACGTGCTTCGGAAAATTTTGTATAATTTTTTATATAGACACTCCCCGGGTTACAGAACACTCGGTTTACGGAAATTTGAGGATACAGAATAACTTCCATAAGTCCCATTATAAAATTTTTTGGGTTGTGCAAGTTTCATGTTATTACGGAAGGTAACTAGTAAGGCATAACAACACCATTTGCGGAGGATTATATGTAAGGTGGCTGGTTGCATTCCCTTGTGAGATGCCATCTGTGATTCAGTACAGGGTACAGTACATATTTACCTTATGGAAGGGTCATTTTCGGTTTACTGAAAATTCTGCTTACAGGAACCTTTCCATAAACCGGGAAGTGTCCGTACAAGTATTGACTCACCTGTGCCAGCTCCAACATCCATGGCAATCTTTCCCTGGAACAAGTGTTTGTTGCTGCTTATAGCATTAGCATATGCTTTGGTGCGTGGTGAGTCGTTAACCATTAATCTGTGGATCTGTAAAAAGCAATCAATGATAATACTTACCCAAACCAGTAAATATGACCATACTGTACTTATATCCTATATACAGTAAAATGTTATTCAATCATAAAACAGTAAACCTTAATGAAAATTCTTTTATGAAAGTTTTAGAGAACTGTTCTTAGTTTACCAGAGCCAGGGCATTCAAAGGAAAAAAAATCTTAAAAATTATGAGTGCTTCTTTAAAACAATGGTATTCATTTATTTGTGTAAAAACTGTACAGTACAGTACAGTATTTAGTTCAAAATACAGGTATGCTTAAAATTCTGAATACAGTATTGACCAATAAAATTTTTTTTATTTAAGTTACAGTTTTACCTTGCTATAAGTCGGAACACACATTCTTGAAAAGTGCAACAGTTAGTGAAACAAAGTGAATACTGTACTGTACAAGTTTACCATAGACCTACGTTATACAGGTTGGACCCGGATAATCCAGGACCCAATAGTCAGGCAGCTTCAATAGGTTGGGACAGTGTCATAGCTTTTATTTCTAGTGGCTGTTGCCACGATTTTACCTCTAATTACTTACAGTATAATTTACCCCAAAAGATGTGGCAAAACGTAAGCATGTGACATTAACTATTTTAGAAAAGATGTCTATACTGAAGAAATTAGACAGTAGTGTAATAGTACATTTTGTGCATTATTTTGCCTTTTTTAACCTGGTATGAGGACCACTATCATATGTAAAGTTTTGGAGTAGAAACCAAGCCAAAGTGGAAACACTTATGTAAAATTATGAAAAAGGGAAAAATCTTGGAATCATTCATTTTATTGATGTGAAAAATTTTACAGCATATCTTGTACAAATGAAAGTTAACAGTACTAATGCATGGTACATTTCTAAAATAAACAACAATTTGTTTGCCAGCCTAAATGGAAAAGAACTCATTGATTTTTCACTTACCTCCACATCCTCATAACTTGTGTAGTACTCCTCCTGGGACTGGTCTTGAACTTGAAGCTGTGGGGTTGTCAGACCATTTCCTCCACCATCCTCTCCCAGCTCTGATGCCATACTGTTGTCACATGGATCTGTGTCTACCATTGCTTCAAAACATTCATCTGAAGCAATAGTAAATTGTACTATTAATAATACTGTACAGTATGTAAATTCTTCTACTTTTATAAAAATGGCATGTTTCATTTGACTCTCACATGTAAGTCAGGCACCTCATTACTGTATACTGTACAATGATCCCTCGGTTAACGAGAGCCTTGGTTAACGAGATTTCGGTTAACGAATTACCTTCCATGAGATTCTTAACTTCGGTTAACGAGCAATCCCTCGATTAATGAGTTTTTAACCAGCGCCCCTCCACATGTTTTCGCTTGCATTTGGCGGTCCACCAGCTGTAGTATAAGTCCGCCAATACAGTAATCGGTTCTAGGGCTTAAATTCCTTACTATTTTAGTAAATATCAAGAAGTTTGTACTATTCAGTAATTTTAAAAATTTTATTTTAAATTTTTTTTAGTCATTTTAACAATTGAAGCATAGGAAGCTAGTTTTTTGCGTGCCAAACAGCCTGTCAACACACCATACAGGCGTCAGTTCTCTGTGTCTTTTCAGTGGAGGTAACATCTTGCTTGAGACCTCTTCAACTAAATGCTGTTTTTCTGTGTTTCCAAGCAAATTATTGGTCAATTTGAAATTTATTTTATATATTGACAATATATAATGCAGTGCAGTGTTGATTTAAAGAAAATAATCTTGAATTACACCAAGAGAACTAAAATTTTATGGGTGAAATGGCGCCATGGGGTGACTTCTCTTCCACCCCAATGCCTTCTCTTCTCCCTTCTCCTCCACCCCCATTCTAATTCCCATCATCATCATCCAGGAGCCTTCTACATACACACCTCAAAGTAAGTGTACTTTACTACCCTTTTTGTTGATTTTAGGCAATTTTCGGTGAGCTGAGACCAATTACCCAAAAACCCATTGAAACAATGGTTTCGGTTAACAAGTTTTTCGGTTAATGAGCAACCTTCTGGAATGAATTGTGCTCATTAACTGAGGGACCACTGTACAGTTAACTAAGAGTTTTCAACAATCTATATCATACAGAAACAGGTACTGTATAGTATTACCAAATGTGTGTTACTCCCCTTATCATCATTTGTTTAACTCCTACGTGGTTTGGGGTGTAGATTAACGTCCACTAAGGTAAGGGACACCCAGATTTAGTGTGTATATTAATGTCCTTGAAAATTATAAAATTCCAACCTACTCTATGAGCCCTAGAGCTATAAATAAACAACTTGAGTTGTCTGGCATACACCCCTGCAGGCAATCATGTGACAAGGCTTCGTGTTTCTTGGCAACATGCCAGTACCTTCGCCTGTCCCACTCTGCAAGAATGTTGTCATGATCGTGCTATCAGTAATGCCAAAATAAACTCTATTGTCTTTGATGAAGATGCTCCTTGTGATGCTGAGGAGCCATTAGGAACAGACAGTGATTTGAGTGATTCTGATGATGTCAATGACCCTGACACCATACACATGACTCCATCACCAAATGCATCATTCCATCACCCACAACATCAACCCCAAGACCAGGATGAGGCTCCACAAGCCCTACTGTGTCACAGACTACACCTCCAACATGTGTCTGGTTGACAAGTCTGACAGCATGATCTCCAGTATAGATTGTACATGTAAGACCGTGAAATGGTACAAAAAACTATTCTTCCATCTTTTGGATATGTCCCTTCTGAATGCACACTCTTCATTTAGTGAAGACAGGTAAAAAACCTACACTCCACGAGATTTCATTGAATGTGGTAAGGCAGCTTTTAGAGACTAATGCAGTGCCTCGTCAGAGACCTAGATGTGGTAGTGAACTTCCTTTGCGACCGACTGCTCAACACTTCTAGGGTTGCCATACGTCCGTATTTTCCCGGACATATCCTCCATTTAGGTCTCGAAATCTTCATCCGGAAGTAATTTTTAAAATTCTTCAAAAGTCCGGAATTTCAGCTTCCATCATTTTCTCCACGGAAAGAAACATGAAACTGTAATGACGAGGGAGAGAGAGAGAGACTGTGAGAGAGGGGAGCTGGAAACAGTAGAGACCTCGTTCAGTTTTCGTCAGCTGATAAGTCACGTGTACCGTACACCTGTACGGTGTTGTCAACTTAGCTGCTTGCAGTTTTTGGGCTAGCCTGTAGTGCCATGTACTGCTTTTCCTTGTTCTTCAGCCACGCGCATTTTTATAATTTTGTTTGTATTTAGTGCTATTACAGCCATAAATTAAGAAAGTATACCATTTTTTTCTTATGGCTTTGTATTTACACTGTAGCATTTTAGCTATTTTCAAGTATAATCTAGCCACTTTCGCTTTATTATTTACGTGTGTTGACAACTGTGACGGTGACCGGTGGTTGGCCAGTCTTTAACCTGCAGTGACAGTGTTTAATCTAAGTCTTTGTTGTGGGTTTGTCGCTTGTTGCCACAGCTAGTGCTTACGATTTGTTGTACTTTTCCAGAGCATAAAACGGTCACGGCTGCATCAAGGTCACATAGCGCCAAAGTGTGTGCCAGGCGGGTGGGTGGGGCAGGATGTCTTCGGGAACGTCCTCTTTTTTTAATGTTCAGATATGGCAACACTAAACACTTCCCTTCAGCGATTCCTTCCACTGGGGCATAGCTGTATTCCCAGAAAAATGTCATGTGTGCCGTACGAGTGAAATTCCCGCCAAAGTACGCAAAGACACTTGCTATCAGTGTACTCAGTGTGACGTTGCTCTGTGCCCGATTCCCTGCTTTCAACAATACCACACCCTTCAAAACTACTGAAGCACAGCAAAGACTTTTAAAAATAGTGTAAATATATTAAAATTTTCATTATTTTAGGGAACTGTACCAACAGAACATGATGTGGTGGTGGCAGTGTGACAGCGGATTGGTGGTAAAACTGTACAGGTACTGTATAAATTTGTGCCTTACCCGAAAGCATGTGTCATGTGTCGACTCCTAAAAAGTGCCTCAGTGAATAATATCTACATAATTGAGGACAATGAATAGTAAAATTATAGTGTAGAATTATGTAAATGTAAATTGTTTTATGTAAATGATGTCTGACACTCACTGCAGCATGTTTGCTGTGCAGCAGAGGCCTCTCTCTATGTCGCATTCCATTTAGAATTGCCACATGCAAGTAAATAAAATAAAATATATGATTGAATTCCATTTTTCTATTCACCTACCTATCCAGTATTATATAATCATGAGTTTATTATAAAAAAAAGAGGTGGAAATAACAAAATAAAGTTACATGAAACAAATTCAGAGTGATATGTCTCCCAGGTCATGCAGAGATTGTGGCAACATTGGATTTAAAACACTGGGCTGGTTTCCATAGAAACGCAGAGGCCATACAACGATTCCAATGATTCTGCCAACTTGAGACTTGAGTTGCCACTTTCTAACCATTCCACATGACTTTAGGCATCATTATCTAGCTTTTCCAGCATAATTTGACCAAATTTTGGTATGACTGAGGCAGGTCGTAAGTGCAGGTGGTCGTAAGTCGGGGAGGAGCTGTACTTTTACTGTAGTACAGTATTTCATTTTAGATTTTCTATGTATAATTTTTTGCATTTTCGACTTACGACATGAATTTGGGTCCCTAACCCCGTCTTAAGTCGGGGAGCAGCTGTACAGGTGTATTTGCATTTGGTGAATTTGAATTTGGCGCAATTTTTCCAGTCTATATTACTCGCGAAATACAAGATCTTACTGTACTGTATATATATAAATAAACTAAATCATTTTGCATTATACTCTCCGATGGATCGCGTATGTGGTGGGTAGTGGAGCGGAGGAGGGCGGGAGAGGAGGAGGTGGAGGATGGCGAGTCACTGAGACCCGGCGGTTTTCCTCTTCCTGGGTTAAAACCTCCATTTTCGTAGCAGGCCAATAGTCTTATTTGCTTCTTCACAACACTAGCATCAGTAGCACTTGATGGGCAATTGGAAGCCATTTCGAATGGTTTCAGTACAGTACAGTATTAAGAGCAAAAACACTTACAGTAAACATGCACGAACACAGTGGTAGCTTAATAAAGACTGGTGATGCTTGGGGACGCCATGATGCTCCGAGGATGAGAGCGTACCGCGCCACGATGAGAGAGGGTGATGCACCATACAAAGTAGTTCGTGACAACTTTATACTGAATCGGTGGGACGTTATCTGAATCATGGGTATCTAAATGGTAGCGATGTTATAACGAAAAAACGTTGCCGGGGGCAACATTAAGCGAGGACTTACTGTATTTACTATACACTTCAGTAAAGTATTTTGAAAGTTTCAAAATATACTTTGCATAAAATAATATATCATTATTATTAAAGATAAAACAATTTCAGGATAAGAATAATGTAATCCAATTACAGTACCCTATTTTTCGGCATGAAAGACGCACTTTTTATGACAAAAATATACCTTGAAAATTACCAAGCGTCTTCCAGGATGCTAGTTGATAATTGTAGCAGAGGTTTTCTTAAGGTCAACTGAAATCAGCCCCTTACAAAGACTGTTACCTCATTACAGTACTTAACAATTACAAATATTCTCTATACAATACTATAAAACTATTGATTTAACTAATATTGTTGATATATTGCGAAAAAAATAAAGATAAACCCTTGCTGCTGTGCGGTTTGTTTACTGATGGCAGTGGTGCGGCAGCGCCATCTATTGAGGAATTGCTAAAGGTTGTCTGCTGGTCTCAAAGTGCAGGAATGTTTGTTTCTTTATATGTAGGCTCTCATATTTGGACACCTATTTACAGTAGGCTCTCATATTTGGACACCCGTTTAGACTGTAAAAATCTCGCAAAATTAAAATCTTCCAAATTTAAATTACAACTTCCTATGGAGAAAATTAATTTTAGTCTGGTACTTTCGATGTTTGGCTAAATTTTGCCTTATTTACCCTACTTTTTTGGCGAATTACTACCTGTAAAAAAGCAACATTCTAATAAACCAACGAAAATAACACAGATAAAGTTAAATAAAATAAAAAAAACATCACAGAAAAAGTTTTTATGTTCTACGTATTCAGCTAGAGTTGAACCTGATGACTTGGCAACTTCGTCACCCAAGTAAAAATACACACAACAACATTTGCTGTCCTTATGTCTTGAACTTTACCACCAATGGGGGGTAGAATTTTTGTTTTAAATTCAGAAGCATTAATTAAAATATATATGAACAGTAAATAAGTGTTGCTTTCATATTCTTATGTAGAGTAATAACGATATGTTTTCACATGTGCTCACTTAGTACATACGCGCTCTCACTTTTTTAATTTACCATTAATAGTTAGCTACTTCCATTGTTCCACTTATTAACATTAAATAACATTACTTAAAACAACCATAATAATTTTTTTTATTAAGTTTACTACAGCTACAACCAGAGTCATATTTTCTTCAGTTTTATATGTACTGTAGAACCAATCAGTAACTGGTTTTGTAAACATTAACGAAAACAATGCCGTCTCATCTCCTCGTGTGTTTTAATATTCTACGTATTATTAATGAATTGTATTGTTCATATTGCACACATAAACAATAATTCAATCAAAAAGAAATTCAGAAACATTAATTAAAACATGTATGAGCACTAAATAAGTGTTGCTTTCATATTCTTATGCAGAGTAATGACAATATGTTTTCACATGTGCGCACCTACATACACGATCTCACTTTTTTTCTTTACCATTACGGGGTAATTGGTTTCAAAATAAAAAAGGCTTTTGATTGGCCGCGTGACATGTACAGCAACACATGCGCAGGATGATTTATGAAGGGGACGCAGGAGACATGCAGTGTTGGAGGAGAGGCAGATGATAATGGTGGGATGTTAATGGAAGAAAATAGAAAAATTTTTGGAAGAGCTATCTCCGTTATTATACATTTCCGCCGGTAATGTAATAGATGAAAATGATCTTATAATTAGACGTCTTATTCAAATATGATAATAGATTAGTGGTAGGAATGAACGGTGTGTAAAGAAAATAATACCGAAAGAACAGTGCACTAATATAAATTTACCCTCTTGTCTGTAACCATAAGCATACCAGATCGCCCAACTGTATCCTCCACCACAGTAGCAGGTAAGCTCCAAACAATGGTTAGGTTATGTGAAGTGAAGTGAGGTGAGGTGAGGTTAGGTTACATTACATTACATTTCTTTTTGTATGTGCGTGTATGTGTTTTATGGGCACAAAAAATGAAGGTCAAATTTTAGTAAAACACCATAAAACACACAAAAAAAACTATTTTTGTATCAAAACCAGCGGACAGCCATGAAGAATATTTATTTATTCATGCAGATTAAGGTTCTTTGTTATTTAATACTTGTTTAAAGCACAATTTTCCATTTATTACGGGTTACATTACATAGTAATACAAAATACTTACCTATCGTTGACCTAGCGTTTGTTGACGGGAGCACCAGGCGGCGAACACTGCCAGCGTCCACTCCAGACTCCAGCCATCAATTTATGTAGCGGACCAGACTCGCTTCGGACGTATTATATGATTAGTATTATCTGTTACACTGTTAGCAAGTACATTGGGCATACACTGGCTTCCACGACAGCAGCAGGGTGCAGGACAGGAACAGGGGGTACCTGAGGGTGAAAAGAGGGTGCCCAGAAATGTCGTGGGCGGGGTGTTGCTGCGGGTAGACTGGTGCAGGCGTAGTTTGTTGGGGGTGCTGCTGGGCTGGGGCCCAACGGGTAAGGTGGCCGGTTTGACTCGGTCTATGCTGATGGTGTCGTGTCTGCCATTCCGGATAATCGTCAGGAACTTCGCTGAACGAGTAACAACCTGGAAGGGCCCATCGTAGGGGCGTTGTAGTGGGTTGCGGTGAGCATCATGCCTGACAAAAACATACTCGGCAGTGAGTAGTGCAGGAGGGATGTGTTCAGGGCGCCGAGGAGGCTGGTGTGAAGCAGTAGCTCTGAATGCAGAAACTGCTTGTCGTAGCTTTTGGAGTAAGTCGTGTCGAGAAATAACATGGCGTCATCGGCAAACATTTGTATGGAGGAGTGTACAACGTCAGGCATATAAGCCACTTTCCATTCACTGGGGACCCTTTTGTTCATCCAGGCATTTACAAAACAGGATCTTCAGGGGCTCGGCAAGCTCGTTGCACAACTCTCTTAGCACTCTAGGATGCACCATATCAGGGCCGGGACTCTTATGGACCTTTAGCTTTGACAGTTTATTTCTAATGCCCTCCTCTGTGAACACAATGTGGGTCAGTGCTGTGTCGAACCGTCTGTCCTCAAACGCAGGAAGGTTAATCGCATCCTCTCTTGCGAATACCGAGGAAAAGAAGCTGTTCAATGCCTCAGCTTTATCCTGGTCAGAATCTGCATAACTACCATCTTCAAGCCTCAGGTCTGATACTCCTACTCGCGTTTTTAATTTCGACTTTGCATAGCGGTAAAACGCCTTTGGGTTTGACTAGACCTCGCTTGCAACCAGCCTCTGGAACTCCTTTTCAGCCTTTCTACACTCTATCTTTGCTTGGTTTCTGGCTCTTGCATACATCCTCCTGTCCTGCTCATCGTTTGACCCAACCCACGTCTTGAATTTCTGGGTTTTCTTATTAACTTTGTCGACTGCCGCATGCTTCATGTGTAGGGATCCCTTCGTATTCCTAGAGGCACTGGGTTTGGTCTTGGGTATATAATTATCGATCAATTAGGTCCCTTTGTTAGTTATGATATTCAGCGTAGTGTCTGCGATCTTGTGCCTTAATGAGCCAGGCCAGTTGATACCCCTCATCTCTTCCCCCATCCCGTTGTAATTTCCCTTATAATATTTGTACCTTGGCCTGGCCTTATTTTGAACTAGGTAACAGTTAAATCTGAATGACAACACTATATGGTGACTGGTGCCAACTGGGGCAAGGTGTTCCAGTTTGGCCACCATACCCTCCTCGTTTGTTATGATGAGGTCTAGTGGCTTGGGTGTTTGCTCCCCTCTGTAATGTGTCGGGTCTCTAACATGTTGGAACAGAAAATTATCTCTCAGAGTTTCTACAAAAAGAGTAGCAGGGTTATTCAAGTCATTTGGGGTGAACTCGTTTCTACAGTCGATGTCGCCATAGTTAAAGTTCCCCATGATAAGGAGGTGGCTAGGGTTGAGCATCGCCGCATTGTCGATTAAGGCTCTTAAGTTCCTTTGATTTAGTGGGCCACAGTTTGGGGATCTGTACATACACCCGATGATAAAATAAGTCTCCTCCCTTTAATTTAATTTTACACCACTTGGACTCTTCAAAAACATCCTCTCCCTGTACCCTCGCCTGGCTGACTCTAAGCACTGCTTAGAGCCTAGCATAGATAACCACACCTCTCTTGCAAGTTTCTTGAGAAAGATTCGTAAATGAGTCATATCCAGCAATACTGAACTCACATTCCTCTGGGTCGATTCTCCTGTTCTTGTGCAACAGAGTTCTACAACTACAATATCTGGTTGATGTACCTTCAGCAGTGTTTCAATTTCCTCTCTCTTATCAAGGAAAGTGTCATTATTAGTGTACATGACATTCAAGCCAGAATTTGTTCTCGGTAACGTCTCTGCTCTTAGTAGTAAACCCCCCCCCCCCGCATTCTCAGAAGCTGTAGCATTTGCTAAGTATACTGTATTTTGCAGGGCGTGGTTTGAAATGTCATTGTTTACACGGTGTAGTGGATTCCTCCCCTACAAGCACCGAACCTTCTCGAATTCCCCAGCCTACGCCTCCAGCGCCGCCCATGGAGCGGGGGTTAACTATCTACCCACGCCTACCCCCGCCTTATAAGGCCTGACACCGCTGTGGCAAATAATAATAATAATAATAATAATAATAATGTGATTACCCTCCCAGCTACATCAGCCAGGAAGAAGTAATTGAACCATCTCCTGCCCCAATATACACATAAAACATTAATAGAGAAAATAAAAGATGAGTGACCTACCAGCTCCACTAAGAACCTGGCAGTCCTCTCCATACAGTGTACCTTTAGACTAACACAACTAACAACTAACACCTTAGCAAAAAAAAAATGTGACTACCCTCCCAGTTATACAAGGACCTGGGCGGGCTCACTAACTCCAACAATAAATAAAAATAATAAGCAGCACTATATAAATAAACCAATATTAATACAAAGGTCTGACGACCCAAGGGAGCAGAACAAAGATAAAATACTAATAGGAAAGATGAATCGATCTGGTTGAGCCCAGATTCTTTCTACTCCTACTGTATTTCAGTTTCACCACTTTTCAACCCCTAATAATCTTCTTTCACCTCATAACTAATGACTCCGTACCGTACCGACCAGCCTCTTTCTACTCAGTGCCACCAGCAAGCAATACTGTAGTGGATTTCTCCCCTACAAACGCTGTTTGTCGCTGCCTTGCCGACCCCACCAATTCCCCAGTGTATGCCTCGTGGTCTAGGTCAACCAGCGCCGCCATACACCACGGAGCGGGGGTCAACTACTAAGCCACGCCAACCCCCGCTATTTAAGACCTGACCTCGTGGTGACCTGGCTCTTCCTACCTCCACCAACCAGCCAGCAACACCTCCTCCTCCCCCTGCCTGACAGTCCTCGCTCGCGCTGGCGAGCATGGCGACCCACAGGCTGGTCCTCCTCTGAGCATCCTCACCAACCAGCTCTCTACATCACGCTTGTAACCATGCTGCCTTCCCAGCACCAAGCTGCACTGTACACCCAATACAACATGTATATAGAGAGCACATCGTGAGTTTCCTTTCTCCATCCCATCCTGAGTGTGAACCAAACAATCTCGTACCCAACAATACCTCCTCAGCGCCAGCCTGGCGGCTGCCGTTCCGCCAGCGACCTTGGCGTCCCTCAAGCCGCGTGTCCTTCCTCTGGGCACCCTCACCACCCAGCTCTCTCTACTCAACTCTTATTACCATGCTACCTACCCAGCAATAAGCTGCATTGTACATCCAATACAACATGTATACAGTGAGCACATTGTGAGTTTCCTTTCTCCATCCCATCCTGAGTGTGAACCAATATCCATAACCCTGCAATTGGTGACCCTGGAGTGACCATTTATGGTCATAAAAGACACATAAAAGACATTAAAGCATGACTTATTTTTAAAAGAATACGTGTATAAACATAACTATAGTAGACATTCAAACAACAGTTGTTGATGGTAGGTAGACTTTCCGCAACGTTAGTAAACTCTACCAGCGAACCCTCAACACAGCGCACGCTTGGAGCAGACCAATAACTAACTCAAATATACTCTACAAATTAATACGTGTAATCGAAATACATACTGAATCTCATTGTTATTGTCGTATATTGAAATGATAGTTAAAAAATCTATTTCAGAGGAGATTAAGTAGTGGAGATGAATTTCGGAGTACATTTTTTTCAGAGAATAGCCCACCCATAATACAGTATATGGAGCTATCATTTATACAGAGTATATATATATATATATATATATATATATATATATATATATATATATATATATATATATATATATATATATATATATATATATAAGTAACCCTTTTCTGTTGATGTTTATCGTTGGGAAATTATAATAAGCCTAAAATTCTTGCAATTTCGATGCATGGATTGCTAAATATAGGTTCAAAATTCCCACCTTGACAGTACTGTAGTCGCTTCTTACGATAAGCTACAGAAACAAGTTGTCACTACTAAAATATAAACATGGCAAAAAGTTTTTTGCTTTATCCTTATTTAAAAAAAATAAACTACAGTTTTACGAAAATATTATTTTGTTTTAGGAAACCTGAATTAAAATCTGAATGGAAATGCACCATTCCATTATCGTCACTATGAGGGAGTCAGCCGGTGTTCGAGTATAGTCAGTTTGACTTCGTAGATTATTTATCATGGTATAGGTTTATGTACACATATAATAGGTAGACTTTTTGCTCATTGTAATATAAATAATATACTTATTGTAAAATAATGTTAAGCAATAATCGTCCTTCAAGTGTTACATAATTGAATAAAATTGTGTAACAACTTTATGTAGCATCTGAACATGTTGTTTTAGGTAGTAAGATAACATTCTAACACTCACAACACGGTGGTGCCTCAGCTTTTAATGGGCGAGTACTATACTTTTCTGTTGTTATTATCCTCTTCGCCTCTAATCGTCCTTTTAGCCTTTAGCCGCTTGAGTGGTCGGTCTTGTCACTGTTACCAACTATTGGGAAGTATTAGAGGTGGCCATGCCGAGTTTTGTCAAGGACTATTTCAGGCCGTAGGAAGCGGTTTGTCACAGATGTTAGGGTTGCCATACGTCCGTATTTTCCCGGACATGTCCTCCATTTAGGTCTCGAAATCTTCATCCGGAAGTAATTTTTAAAATTCTTCAAAAGTCCGGAATTTCAGCTTCCATCATTTTCTCCACGGAAAGAAACATGAAACTGTAATGACGAGAGAGAGAGAGGGGAGCTGGAAACAGTAGAGATCTCGTTCAGTTTTCGTCAGCTGATAAGTCACCTGTACCGTACACCTGTACGGT